TATATTCTGTTCTGGGGTTTTGATTTCTTCTTTGGTTTTGGGGGGTTTGGTTGGGTTTTTTTTGTGTATGTGTGTGTTTGTGGGGTTTTTTTGTTAGTCCTTCTCTGGTACTTGTTTGGGGAAAAAGTAAGGAAATCATAGAAAATTGCAACATTTGGCCCAAGAACATCCTCCACATGCAGGAGGTACTATCAGTTCTGGTGAACATTCAACAGATCCCCTTCTGGAGCACTCAACGAGGGCAAAGAGAGGAAGAGATAATCCTAAATGGAGTATATATTTAAGTGTGCAAAGTAATGCATTTTCAAAGGCCATGACAGCAAATTAACAAGATGGATCTCATTAACTTTGATCCTGTGGCAATGCTTACTCATAAAGATAGCAGGCAGTATAATTATTTCTTGAAAAATGAAAATGGAAGAGATTCTATGATCCATGGTAAAAGGAGAAAAGCAAGTAATAGACAATTAGGTTGTTGTAGATCAATTGCAAGACAGCTAAGAACCAGTATCCTGAAATTAAACCTGTTATAGATCATCTGTATAATACAGATTTGCACATATCTCTTAATTTCCTCTCTATGGAAGCAAAATACATACATAACCAATCTGGATAATATCAGTGTCCTGTTGTTAAAGTTGGAAGGTGGTTTAGCCCATGTAAAAAAAAAAGTCAGTTTTGAAAATAATTTTGGACATCTTTAATTAAGGGACAATTTAAATCTGTTGTTGTACTACCTCAAGCAGAGACCTAAATCGCACGTCTGCTCCTTTTGATATCAGTACCTTCTGCAAGCAAACAACAGGTACCTCAGAATCCACTTTGTGACTACTATGCTGTCATTTACTGTTTGCCTGGTACTCTGACTTGGCTGACCTCAATACTGCAACAGCATTATTGTAATAATTAGTACACGCTACACTAAGAAGCTCAGTCATGTTCCTTTAGCTTCAGTTATGGCAGATCAGATGCGTGGCGATATTGCCCATGTGTGTTCTCCAGCAAGTCAGTAATTTAAACAGCAGTGAAGATGCTTATACAGGTTATTTTACCATGCGTTTGCAGGAGATGCTACACTCCAGGCCTCCCTGGCAGCATCACTCCATATCCATGAGGAGGAACGTGGAGGGTACTAGTCCAGGAGCTGGACAGGCACCAGCAGTGTCTCCACAATGTCCAAGCTCCTGTCAAGGAGCAACTGCCCCCCCTACAGCAGGCCAGGTCAGCAGATGGGACACCCGTCCTGTAGCAGAGAGTGTCTCACACTTCCTCCTGGTGCTGCTGCAGGGCTCAGGCTCTGCTGGCTTGCCTGCTTCATTGGACACAGATCTGACTCCCTCCGCTGTTGTTAGGACATTGAACCTGCTCTGTAGCTGAAGATATACAGGTGGTGCAGGAGTAGTCCTCCTGGTGCAAGAAGTGACCAGCTCCCAGCCTTCACCATAGAGGGAGTCTCCATCTCCCAGCTTGATAAGCACAGCCTCTGCCTGCCCCTCCTTTGGGACAACTGAGGTGTTCAGGCTCTTGTTTGGACATGGCCCAGGTAAGCTCTTTCTTGATGGATCTGAGACTGTGCAGCCTGTTGACTTTCTCTTGCTGCTCCTTTACTTGGCAACAGAGAACCTCAAACAGTGCACACAACCTCTGTGAGCAAGGGCACCATCACCCTCATCCTGGCCTCAGCGAGGCCCCAGTCTTCTGCACTGCCCTCCACCCCACACCTGGAGACCTGCGTCTTCCTGTGGAAGTCCCATCTAGGTCAAGATCAGGAGCAGTTGCTCCAGTGGGTTCTTGAGACTGTGACCACCGTTGCTGAGCACACATGCACAGCTCCCAGCAGAGTTCCTGCCTTCTTCTGCACAAAGTGTTGTACAAACTGCTGGGCCTCCGGGCTCCCTCTGTGAGCTGTGCCCATTGAATTAAAGTGTTGAAAGAGCATCACACTGATTCCAATGCAACTTGCAGTGTAAATGGGAAGAATAAGTTGGAGCTAATGGCTTTGGTTTAAACATTGGCTTGTTTGGTTTGTTTGTTCTTTTTTCCCTGTCCTCCTCTATGTTCATCATCACCTTTTTCTTCCATTCAAGTTTCATCCTCCCCACAGCAGCAATACAAGGAGGATAAGGAGTACTCCTCCAGTTTGGTGACACAACATCATTGGATCCTGGGGTAAAAGACTGGTGATGACCATCCAGAATTCCTTGTTATTATTTCTTCACCTCAGTCCCCTCTCTTCAATATCTTCTAAAACGTTGTTTTAGATGTTTGGTTTTTTCCATAGTCTTCTGTTTACCATGTGTCCAGTTCTGCTAAATCAACCTCTCAGCTCAAAATCACATTTGCTCATGTCCTGCAGCACAAACTTTCTGGTAGCTCCTCATGTTGCTTTACGTCCCTGCTTGTTAACTAGTCAATCAATCACTTCTAGGCTGCTTTGAATATGAACCCTAATTTTTAGTGCCACCACACTATGCTTAATCGTAGGGTTCGCATTCTGTTTGACTTGAATTCCTTGTGGACAGATCTGTGCACTACCTGCAACGATGGTGTAGGGAATTATTGCATGCAAGTTGCCTCTGTGTTATTCCTCTCACCTGTAGTGAGGGATTTGTCACTTGAATACAGTCCGCCTCAGACAGAGGTTGAAACTTCTTTGTCTCCAGAGAGAGAATGCACTTGTCTCTGATGTTAAAAAAGATATGTCATGTTTTACACCAAAAAGGGTTCAAGTGCTCATGTCCAAATGCAAGTTTGAAAAAGTAGTGACTGTTACAACCAAAACTGAATGCCTCTAGGAAGGGCGATGGCTGTAAGATCACAGTTCATCTTACTGCACCAAAAGCCATTTTACTGAACCGCCAAAAGCTACAGACTGGATCTCTATGTGCCACACCAGAAACACTCGTCTTTCTCATCTTTGCATTATTGTGTCAAATTTACAATCCTTGCTTATGTGAGTAACGTGGGCCAATGGTAAGTCAGCTTATGTGAGTGTTGATTAAATAAGTATTTACAAATTGTGGACTTCTATTCTCCTAGTATAATTATATTCTTCTCAGCCTTCGTTTTTTCTTCATATATTTGTTCAGCAGCGCTCTCTCTCCTCAGCGCGTATTTTTTCATTCACGTTTTAAACCCCTGACTTTTCTTTCTGCAGTCAGCAGAGGGAGCTATGTCACTTACTTATGTAAGACCTTAGCGGTTTGTGCTTTGACACTTTATTGCCCTTTTTCCAGTTCACAAAAGCTAGAATGATTGTCATGTATTAAAATTTCTTTAAAAGGCTCTGGCACAATGGCAGTCACATCGTTAGTCTGACAAATTGTTACAGATTAGGAACATGATACCTTTCCTAGGTTTTTCATTTAAAATTAACCATGCTGAATATTACTAGAACTCTATATTCAGCATTATCTAAACAAAGAACGTTGTATTTTGAAGCAATGAAGTCTTTAGAGTTTAGACAAAACCCTTGTAATTGGAAACATGCGTTTGAAACAGTTGTAGTTTACAGTCAAGCAAAAATAACAGGTGAGAACTGAAAGTTGTGTTGAACCTTATACTTGTAGATCAAGTCACAGGATGTGTGTTGCAGTAAGACTCTTCAGCAGGAGAAGAATTTTTTCTTTTTTTAAATAGGAACTATTACAAATTGCAGTGTCAAATGCATGTCCTCCCCTCAGCAAGCCACACAGCACGATTTAACTGTGAGGAGTCACGTGGGAGCGGAGCTGTTCAGTCCTTCTACATCCATAGGGCTCTCTGCAGCTCCATCTGTAAGACTGATCGTATGATCTTAAGTATGTGTCCCTTTGCTCCAGTGTAATTTGTGGGGTCTTGCCAGATAGGCAGGCTTGCCTTCTCGTCTGACTGCCTTATGACAGCTCTTAGCATGATGATGATGATGTCACAGTACCACACCTCTGAAGGTGTCCCACTTCTGACTAAGAAGAGCAGCCATAGAGACCAGGATAATCTCTGGAGAAGTAGCACTGTTTCCACTATGAAAGTAATTTTGCTTGTCTTTTTATCCCTCCTAACTTCTGCAGGGACTACGAGAAAATTTATTTCACCTGATGGTATGTTCTAATCAAAACTTCATTATGGTAAAAATTATTACAGAGCTTACATTCTGCTAGATATATATATAAAAAAAAAGGCAGAAGGTATTTCTTCCTCTCATTATTTCTTAGTTAAATGAAGTTTTTCCTCAGAGAGCTTACTACAAACATTCCTGTCCACTGCGGTAGCACTGTCGTTTTGAAAACATATCCTGCAGTTTGCCTTGTTATGCCTGTTTGCAGGTGCAAAAGCACATAGGAGGCAAACATGCATAGAGCTTGTCCAGCATCTCCAGCAACCACATAGCATCCAGTCAGAACATAACCATTAGAGCTCGTAACACCAGAGAGAAAAGCATCTGCTCACAATTCCGTGAACCAAGCAACAAGTTGAATTGAGAATTGCACAAGGTTTGCCCCTGAGCTTACTAATGGTGCAGGGACAGTCAGTCCTGCAGATACACAACAGAGTTCAGTCATCAGGAACAGCAAAACTGCAACAGTGAAACATTCTCAACTGTTTCTCTGGCTGGCTCCAGCTCAGATTCACTGTTTCACAAAAGGAAAGGAAAAAGAAAAAATGTTTCACAAGGTAAAAAAAGCACTGCTGGTTTCCTGACCACTGCAGCAGTTATCTTACACTCCAGACCAGAGACTGGAATATTGTTTTCTTAGCATATATAATATTTTGTCCTGACTGAGAAATACTGTGATTGGCATGCTGTACTGTGAAGGCTGCAGATTAGAGCAAAGTGGGAGCCTGACACAGGAGACAGTTCCTTAACGTCAGTGTATGTACATAGCTGTTGGAAACAGGCCATATTTAGAAATACAGTGTCATATGACTATTGAGATCTTAATTAAATAATAACAGCATTTTCAAAAAGTGAATAATACTGCTTTATAATATATTAAACTGGTTTTAGTCACTTGTTGCAGCAAACGTATTTTGCAGCCTGTCAAATCACCAGTTTTTTGAAAAAACATATATTGGCTAAGAAGTTACTGATTAAGCATTTTCCGGATTACTCCAAAGTAGCACTACCTGGAGATTATTTGGAAGAGGAGAAGGAAGAAGGTGGTGATGATGGTGACAAAAACACTAATGTTGAACAAAGTCCTGGTAAGAAGATTATAGAAACTATGACATTAAGTTGCAAAGTATAGATATTCTGTCACTTCAGGATCAGGTATTCAAAATTTTATGTGAAGTGGAATTCTCCCTTTTATTTAATATGAACTTAATGTTTGCAATCACTGCTTATAATATTGTTTCACAGAGTCACTGTCTCCACACAAACCTACTGAATGGCTTATACATCCACACAAATTTGGTGGGGACTGTCTAGTAACAGGACTGGATAATTGCATCTAGGATCCTGTTGGCTATGTCCTTGAAACAGATTTGATCATGCAATCACATGCCTAGTGCTTACAGAAGGGACAGAAATGAAAAGCCTACCTGTAGTGGGACAGAGGAAAGAGCAGACTATAGAATATCTCATGGACGAAGTCACCTTGCCTCTTTTTCTGGCAACATTCGAAATACATGGATTTGTAATATCAGAGAATTATAATGTTAAAGAATGGAATTATAAAACACCCCTGTAAGGAAAAGATTTTAGTTAACTAAAATTTTCTTCCTCTAATGCATCAGGAAGGGAAAGATGGAAGAGAGACGAACAGTGCTGTACTATTCAGTCCTTGAACTAAGCACATTCAAAATTTGTACTATTCATTTATAAGCATGTTGTAGACTGGAACCAAAAAAGGTTATGAATAAAAACATAGAGGAAGAAACATGTTATATGGGGCCTTTGGAACACTCATTTCAATTGCACTTTAGGCAGTTACAGAACAATGCAATCCAAATTTTCAGAGAAGAGAATGTTTGGTTTCTCTGTAAAAATGACTGCATTTAATGAGCCAGGAATCGGTTAAAGCACAACTACGTAGTTTGAAAATTGTCTCTCTCACTTGGATGTGACTGTTTTTGTGAATACTCTCATTGTGCTCTTTGGAAAATGCCGGACTTATATGGCAAAGATAGGAGTTCAACTTAATATGCATTCATTTAGACATTTCTGCAAGGACAACTGTGTCACAACTTGATGATGGAGAAGATCTGTTAAAGAAGAGTATGCAGAAATTGCAGGAGAAATGTAAGTAGCAGAAGGTACCATTTAAGCAGTGTGAAACTATATACACCTGCTTAAGCAGTAGTAAGGTCCAGAAAGAAGAGCCTGGCACACGTATCAGGCAGCTATGCATCTCAAATTTTATGTTGTGTTGCATTCATTTGTTACTGACACATCTGTTCTAAGAACAAGACAAATTAATGAAAGGTTAGGTCAAGAAATCCTAAATTAATCCCAAAGTATTGAACAAAATGACAGAATGGTAGGTGAGGGAGGAGAATGCATGTCTTGCTGCCCTCCCACCTTTTAACAAAATATGTTCATAGACATAATTTGACTTGTAAGTAATCAGATCCCACTGATTCCCACTTTGTTTCACTATGTTTCAAGAACCCTTTTAACTGTCTACTGCTCACTGGTGACCTTTGTGATCACCAACATGGTTTACAGTTCATGTTTAAAGAGAATCCACATCTGATTTAATTGCAGACAATAAGTAAAGCCACACTGTCTGTCAACACACATGGCGCTGTGTATAGATTAACACAGTGGCTTTCCAGTTCTGTCTGAATTATTCCTTTAAGGTATTTCTCTTACAATTTAGAATTACCAATTGACAATTATGAAAATGGACTATAATAGTAATGTATTTTTTTGCTGAGTGACTAGCTGCATATAGGAAGTGACATACTGGTGCTGGCTGTTACACTTACCAACTCTGCCAAGAAGCATGAAAGGTGGTCTCATGTAAAAACTGTTAGCCCATCCAGAACACCATAGGCAAATGATGCATTGCCTTCCATACCTGGCCATCAAAAATCAAATATTAGTCTGGAAAATGCTTCTGCAAAAATAGGTCTGCCTTAAAATTTATATGTAGATTGGGATTTTTGTAAGTAGTTAGTTTCTACTCCTAAGAGATTCACCCTGTGTAACTTCAGCTTCTTAATTATTACTGCTTGTAGACAAATTCATCTCCACCAAAGGAGCAGAAGAGGACTTTTCTCAGGAAGAGCAGGCACTAGGTAACAGCTAATTGGTGTTTTCATTGGGGTTTCTAGTATTATACCATCACACTAAAAAAATCTGTTTTGACATGCTGATCTGACATGAATTTCCCAGGTTCATTGAGCTGAAGACCAGGTATTCCTTTGCTATTTGTAAGTTCATAACATAGCTGTTTCAAGTTCTCAGTTTTTTAATCACTGTAGAATTGCAAAGTCCTAGAAAATAAAACATACGGGGTTTTTTTTCTAAAGAAAGCAGTTCTTACCACTTTTCCAAACGTGTTTGTGAGTCAACTACAGTAATTTCTGATTTTTCTAGCTTTTAGACTTTCAACAATAATGAAGGCATGCTTCCTCTCCTTCCCTTTCATCTTAGATGTTGAACTTTCTGTTTTTTCCTTCTCTGCTTTATCTTAGAAATAATCTTTGTAGCTGTTCTTTTTTCTTTCCAGAATCCAGATTTGGACCCCATTACCTTACTACTCTCACACAGAGCCATAATGAAGAACTACCTTTGGATGGTATGGTAGAGGACTCAGCAAAAGATTAAATATAAGTTCAATTCTTCTAACTAGACAGTATAAGAACAAAAGAAATTCTAAATTTGGTGGGCAAAAATGAAATTTAAAAGAAACTTGAAATCAAGAGACTTTGTCACTTGTTCATCTGAGAATCACAGAAGAAGAAAAAATCATAAGCCAAGCCCTGTCTTTGAGACATGTACTTGTTAGCAGGTAAACAAGCTGAAGTCCCAAGACAATGAAACTTAGCATGGGCCATATTAGCAAGCCATAGAAAAAGTAATGCAAATAACTGATTTTAATCTGAAAACATGCTTCTGCGCCAAAACCTTGAAGAATGTTTTAGTTTGTGTATCTCTTGTTTTCCGACCTCCAGTTACATTTTATTACTACTTTGCAACTGAGGGAAAATGTTAAATGTATTCACAAATATATGGATGAAGTTAAGTTTGTACTGACCTGAACAGGAGACATACGTTTGTGTGCAAAATTTGTGTGCAAAATTTAGCCTCTGACTTATACGGTTTTTATCCATACTGATTCATGAATGAAACAGCAGTATATGCTTTCTGTATCTCTGGCAAAATAAATTAACTTGTTTCTATTTCTGAATAGCTAGAAAAATATACCAACCTTGTTTCATTTTCTAACAAAGGGCTATAAGCAAAAGCATTTCTATAAACCAAACTGTAAGGAAAGAAATTACTCTAAAAGGTTTGTCTGTTGTGAGTTTGTATGTAGCATCATAAAAGGTGAAATAAAAAGTTATTGTTTAAATGTAAGGTTTTCCTTGTGTAATACTGAAGTATTACTATATCTTACATTTTTCAGATCCAAGAGCCAAATTTATGAATGTTTGTGAGTATGTCTCTGAACGTAATAGAAGAGCACAAACAGGGAGTTTCACCTTGATAGATAGAAGTAGCTTTATGACTGATTTGGAACCCCTTTTTGACTGAGAATTAGTCACCATTTAAAAACTATATAATGCTAAAAGCTAAAGATCTGATTGTTACTGCTTATTAGAACAAATTACACTTAGGAAAGTTAACAAGATCTAGGAGAAACTGAAGGGGGGGGTTATATCTATACGAACTTTAGCAAATCCAGGATTAAAAGATAGCCATAAAAAGCAGTAAAAAAACCTTAAAAAAATTAAAAGACAGAGTGACTAGCTGTCCTGGTTTCAGCTGGGATGGAGTTAATTGTCTTCCTAGTAGCTGGTATAGTACTATGTTTTGAGTTCAGTATGAGAAGAGTGCTGATAACACTGATGTTTTCAGCTGTTGCTAAATAGTGTTTATACTAAGTCATGGATTTTTCAGCTTCTCGTGCTCAGCCAGCAAGAAGGCTGGAGGGGCACAAGAAGTTCAGAGGGGACACAGCCAGGGCACCTGACCCAAACAAGCCAAAGGGGTATTCCCTTAGGCATGACATGTCATGCCCAGTATATAAACTGGGGGCAGTTTGCCTGGGGGGATCACTGCTTGGGAACTGACTGGGCATTGGTCGGTGGGTGGTGAGCAATTGCACTGTGCCTCACTTGTTTTGCATATTCCAATCCTTTTATTAGTATTGTAATTTTATTATTGTTATTATTATCTTTTTAGTTTTTCTGTTCTATTAAACTGTTCTTATTTCAATCCATGAGTTTTACCTTTTTCCTTCCGATTCTCTCCCCCATCCCACTGCGGGGGGTGGTGTGGAAGTGAGCGGCTGCGTGGTGCTTAGTTGCTGGCCGAGCTTAAACCACAGCACTAGCTCGCTGAAGACGGCTCCCAGTACATTCCTTTTCACAGGCAAAAGAATTAACATTGATGCAATCAAGCATGCTATAGCAGCCGCACACAAATTGTCTTAACTAGAACAGCCAACTGCTTGGAAATTATTTACAATCCCACTTGTTTCACTTGATACAAAAGAATTAGCTATGTATTTAAATATGAAATGCAGAAGAGATGGATTTTTAATTGCACCAAAGACATTTTTATCAAATAAGAGCACATAATCAAGTTCCTGATCTCAGTGACAGCAGATACCATCCAAGCAATGTATTTTTCCAAAAAATGCCAAGTAAGAATATAGTATAGCAGTCTTGATGGGTTTTCCACACAGTAAATTAGGAATATGTAGAATTGGTGGTTCCACAGGTGCTTAAGACCACCCCATCTCCTCAGAGGTGAAAAAATGGGTTCTAATAAACTCAGAGTAGTAGCATCTCAACAGTCCCTGGGGCCTGCTGAACTTCTGTCAGAAATACTCTTTAAGATGGTTACAAATCATGTCTAGAAAGATTGAAAGATGTGCTTTTAGCCAATTCATCAACTAGTTATTTTATTAAAAAGTGCTTATCTTTATTTGCATATCGCACAGATATAACCCATTTCTATGTAAGTCGCTTTTTCCAGGACGTGAACTGTATGTGTACTAGTGGAGTGGTGTGCTTTACTGTTGTAGTGTCAGAGGGCGCTGATTTGCTTCAAAGGAACATAGCTCAAGAAACCAGCCAAGAAGATTTTAAAGTAAATGTAATGCTTGCTGTGTCGTGTACAACTCTCGCCTGCTCCTTAATATTCATGATATGCTGTTGTATGGCTTTCATCAAGTACAGAATGGAAAAAGGGTAAGTTTTCCAGTCACGTGCTGTGCTTTATTATTTGGGTAGTAAAGTAAGGTGCTACTCCAAACATAGGATTAAAGACTATGCAAATATGTGATAAAAGCTCAGAAAGGCTGTACACACGTTTAGTTAACTTACTTACTTTTCCCCCAAACAAAAAGCAAAGGCAGAAATTATAAAAAGTAGAAAATTACATTATTACCAAGAGTGTACGTACTAGACTTTTCCTTATAAGTTGAGATGCTCCCCTTTGTTAGTTCAAATTTTGAAAAAGAAGGAAGTTCAGTAATTTATTGTCCATCTTCAATGGTATCTGTTAAGTTCCTATTGGTTTACTCTGATTAGAATAACATAATGATTTTTGTTCTGTGTTTTAGAAATTTTTGTCGTAGATTCAGATGCTCAGGAGAACAACAGAGACCAGCTTCTGCACCTTACTTTGACCCTCTGAGGGGAGTTCCTGATTCTTCAGTTTCCAGAGCAGTAGAAAGCAGCCTGCAGGGTGAGAAAACAGCATCAGACATACAGGGTAATGGTAAAAGCACAAAATCAGAAATATTACCCATCATCCGTTCTGTAGTTGATATACCACCAATTTCTCATGCATCAAGTCTCAGCAGTATTCCTTCGTATGAAGACTTAAATGGAGACCACAGCTAAATAGAATCTCATTGACAGTGACTGACAAGCTCTCTAACTCAGATGCTGGTATACATGCACAACTATGTTTTTATAAATGCTACTTGTGATTCTCTAAATTTGTAGCTTGAAATTTCACAACAGGACAGAATAAAATTTACATTCTGATAAGACAGTGATGTGTAATTAAAGCTGGATCACAAATGTTTGTGGGCAAACATTAACTGCTTCAGTATCAAGTGCCAGGAGATACAACCGTGGCCAGAAGACAGTTCCACATTATTCCTCAAGTTAAAAAGAAACAGCTGAAACACAATGACTTCTTGAAATGAATTCAAGCAATCCAACATTAGCAGCACACACTGAACAGGAATGCAGTGATGGATCTCTGAACAATAATTACTTTTTAAATTAAGATTTTTTTTTGAGCAATAATTCACTAATTTATTTTTTTAAAAATATCATTTGGGAAAGTTATGTGAGCTTAGGTGCATTTTCGAATGTTTGTGTACCTAACAGCTCTCTATGCTGTTTGTATGTATACAGTAATATGCAACCCTAAATAACAGCAAGGCTGGTATTTTTAACAGAAAAAAAGATCTCTTGGTGGATCCTCTAAGAGAAAAAATTTTTTCTATTATTTCCCCTGTTTTTTACACACCGCCTCGAACCCAGAATATCGTACTTGTCTTTGCCACTCTGAGACAGTAGCAACAATTCTTCAGTTGACACTACCCCGACTTGGGGAAGGAAAGTGCAATAAGAACCATAGGATCAGAAGTAGAGGCTGGTCTGTAGAGAAATTTTAAGCAGTGGGACATGAAAACCTAGGGTTTCCAGATTACAGCCAAAATGTATTGTCTTCAAGGCAATGCAATCAATTTAGAAAAATTGCTTGGCCATGGTCTTCTAAAGCCAGCTCAAAACACAGGAATTCTTCCATTAACTTTCAGGGTCTTGCACACAAAAGTAGCTATAATGACTTAAGTTTTGAAAATAATTTGTCCCACAATGCAGAAATACAAGACAGCAATGCAAGACTTCTTTTTCTTCATTCCTTCTTATATATGGGAGATGGTTACATCAGCAGCCCATTTTCAATTAGTTTCTTCATTCTTTTCTCTTGTTATTATTTTCGTGCTTTCTCTGTTTTGAAATTGTACTTGACTATCTGAAAATAAAGTTCTGCCTTAGGGGTGGTACTCAAGCTCAACCCACCTGTATGAGTTGAGAGTGTTGATGACTCAGCCTAGCAGAATTAGTAGGAAAAGAATACAGAACAGCACACAAAATGTGATAGTGCTGTTCCACAAATTCCCAGCTAATTTACATTGTGAATACCAAGTGCAGTTCTGGTCCCTTACTCTTAAAAGCGAGAGACAAAACCAGAAAAGTTTCAAGGTAGGGCAACAAGGATTGTCGGAAGTATGGAACTGCTTCCACAACAGCAACCATAAAAGCAGGCTAGAAAAGAGTATGTGTTGGTGGGAGGGGAGAGTCTATTATAAATATCGAGTGCCACAGGTGAAACAGATAGCGATTGACTATCCATTCCAGTTGCAAAAGCAAGGAGCGTCAAACGAAACCCATAGGAGCCGGGTTCAAAGTACGTAACAGATGCTGTCCTGGCAGTGCGTACTGAGCAGACCAGACGAGCCATCGCACGCTACTCAGCAGACAAGCTCTCCAAACCGCCTGCGCAGAGGCCTGGACGGTGCTCTAGGGAAGCCCTGCATAATCCTGCCCTGTTTTTGCAGCTCCCTAGCCACCTGGCTCCTGGCCTGGCTGGAGGCAGAGCACTGGGACAGGCGGGCCCGTGGTATGAACTCACCCTGACATTTGTTCTCAGTGGTGGGCTGCGGGCCGCGCGGCTCATTCTGGACGGGGCGCATCCGCTCGTTACGGGCCACAGAGCCCAGGAAGCCTCTTGCCTCGGTAGGCCGGTGGGCTGAGTGGGTGGGTGGGTGGCTGGGTAGCTCTCCTTCGGCTGGGGCAGAACGGCTGCCGGGACCCCGGTGCTCCTAACAGTAGCCCAGATACCTAGCTCGCAAATAGACACCTACGGCCGGGGCGCCCGCCCGGAGGACAAAACGGTACTTCCCCGTAAGCAGTAGGTATCCCCCCCAGCGCCACACGCCGCCCTTTCTAACCAGGTGGGGCTGCAGGTCTGCACCGCAGCTCCGCTGGCCGCCCGGCCGGCAGGACTGCGCCGCTCCGCC